TAGTTTCATAATATAATGTACAGTGGGAGTCACAAGGGGTCTTTGAAAGTATAAAGTTGGAAAAGTGTCACGAGAATTGATAATTTTTAAAGAAGTGTTTCACATTACGAGCGATGACTAATGCAAGGCAAAATTGCTAGCTAAATCACGCGCATTACAAATGGGTTAAATGCTATTGGGGAACACTTGATAAAAATGGAGATAGGCAGGTATCGTTTTCCCAAACGATTGCTTGCTGTAATTGCAGTTAACTACCAGAAAAAGAATACAGAGTGAACACAACAACAGATATAACAGTAGGAGAGAAGCTCACTATGACCTTTAAAGAACTGGTATTTTCCCCGGCGCTGGTGAGTGGATCACAACAACACATACTTTAATTTTCAACAGCCAGCTTTCTATTTTCCCTAAAGGCATCTCTTAAGAATTCTCTCATCATTGTTACTTTTAACAAGGAATTTTCCCTTCATCCGCCATCCAGACTCTTTTAACTGATCTGCTAGCTTTTTTTGTAGTCCATCCTTTTACAGCTAATTTTGATCATGAGGTGTCCTTTCTTTTCGAGGACAAGCGTAGAGACTGTGTAGATACATTTATGACGCGGCCTTCACACCGACCTTTGTATAATGTTCAGTCTCTGTTAATGTTGACGGCCAAATGCGTGGACAGACCTCTGGCGCTGATGTTGGGGCTGAAATATGCGCACAAATTGCAACTTTGAGGCGTATGTATTTCATTTAAGTTATCTCTTGGATTGTATCTGGTGTCGTTGCTATACACTAAGTTTTAGATTACTTCATAACATTTTGGTATGGCTGTACAGTTACAACTTGACGCATAAAGTGCGCCTAAAGAGAATTTACCCCTTAAATAAGGCGTTTTTTTAGGTAACAGGTGGTTATATGAAATTTCATCCTGTTTTTATTTCTTAAGGGATCCAGCTGAAGGATTGATTTTACTATAGAATAAAAGAGAGCCGAAACAATTGTATCATACTTCCTCCCCTTCTCATTGATGAAATTTTGTGCTTCTTTTCATATTTACCAGCTAGTCATTGATGATAATGCAAGCGGTGGGCGTCACAACTTCCTTCAAATGTCTCATCAGCCTCGTTTTCTTCACGGTTTTTTTTTTTCGTTTTCGAATTGAGTGTTGATTAAAATAGCTCTGTTAAGTGGTGCTTTGTAAATTTAATGTTAAGGCTTCTCTGTTTAATTGTTCTATTCCTGATAAGCCTTCCAGTCCATCGCAAACTATTGGTGAAAAGAAAAAAAAGACGTTTCCTAAAATGCGAACAATTTTTTCTTGCCTTTGTTTTATTAAAAAACAATAGACAAGAACTTATTTGTACTCGTCACGCCTTTTGGTTGATTAAATACAAAACAGGAAAGTTTTTCTCTTCCAGCGCTACCCAGCCTCTTTTCATTGACCACCTTATCATCGAATAATTCGCTCCTTGTTTTGCAGGTCATTTTTCGCCAAATGGAGGCAAGAGTCGAGGAACAAGTCAGTGAAATCTCTTAGCGGAGTTCCCAATGTGCGTAACGCAGCTGCAAAAGTAACGAAATGCGCATTCTAACCACATTCTATCCATGTTTGTTTCCACCGCGGACAGCAAATTAGCTTAACTTGAAAAAATGTATTTTCATTTTCCTTTTCAGTCATCCCAGTATTGATTTCCTCGATGAATAAATAAAAAAATAAAAAATAACTGTGTAGCCTGCCGGAAATAACACGCAGAAAAATTGTTTGATGGTTTGTAAACGGTACTTTAGAGTTGCTTCAATAAAGTACGTTTTATTGTTCTTATTTTCTTCACTAATTTTCCTGTTAACGCGGTTAGTGAAACAATACTGTAATGAACTTGGAGTCGTCGTTTTTCCTTTGAGTTATCAATAGTCCACTGCGTTCTTCGTGTTTGTTCAGAT